CACTGACTCTTCCCTCTTCCAATCTCTTGTTCATCAGGTTTCTTTGAAAGAGGATATCCACGATCTTCCTGATCTTCGGTTACCTAGAGCTGCATTCCAGTCAATTGTGTGGCTAGTAATGACGAGAGAGATGCAGGTCCATATGCCAGGATCGACTTTGACTCAGTAGCATACAAATAAGTGCTCAACTTCTGAGTTTTAATACAATAAAAGACGAACGATATTTCATTTTTTGAGTCATAGATACTAGGTTTTTAGACTATCACTATTTATGAGTTGTGTTTACCCCATTTTCTTTAGGGTGATGAAGGACTAGTAGTTGACTTTCCAACAATGATATGAATAAAGCTGACGTTTCCATTGATTTTCGCATAGCCTTGCTTTTCCTAATTGTGTTGTGATCCAGGGAGGTAGCTTCTACCTTGCCTAGGACTTATCAAATCTCCTATGGGACTCAAACCATGACAGTGCAGCGCGTAAGCTCAACACGTTAACAAATACGCCACATTGCCACGAATATCCTTGGTTTATAGGGAAGATGTGTATTTCAAGGAAGGTCAGGCATTTTCTATATTACTCGTTGCAATGTGGCATATTAGTCAACATGTCGAGATTACACACTACACGACCATGGTTCGACTCCCGCTAGGAGTTTTGCTAAGGCTTGGGCGAGGTCGAAACTGCAGTTTACTCTGGATGAAAACACCTTTTGGGAAAGCAAAGCTATGTCAAATTCAATGGAAACGTCGGCTCTACTCATATCATTGTAGGAAAATTGAAGTACCAATCCTCCATCACCTTAAACGAAATAGAGTGAGCACACCTCATATATCTGATTTAATGGTAGTCTCGAAACTTGACTCAATATCAATATTTAGCCATTTAGACATTTTTCAAAATTTCTGAAGGCATTAGAATGTTAAAGAAAAACTGGATTTCGAATAAGTCCTTAGTGATATATTATGACATGACTCTCCATTTCGAAGGAAAATTTGTTATGACGGAGTTTGTGATGTGGTCTCACTGGAAACTGAAGGATTGCAGCGTAGAGAAGACTGTCTAATTTGGGGAAGAAGTCCTCAACTCCAACTGTGATATGACTCTCCATTTCGAAGGAAAAGTTGGTAGGAAGGAATTCTTGATGTGGTCTCACCGGAAATCGAAAGACGAGTGTTGTGTAAACAAGACTGTTGAATTGTGCGAAGAAGTCCTCTGCTCACCGTCCTGCGACCCCGATGAAATTGTACCAACTTTCTCTTCTAAATGGAGAGTCACGTCACAGTTGGAGTGCTGAGATGACCCATTCTTTGGTCGAAGCTGATTTCCAGTATGGACGAATATAATGTGATGACATCCTAAAGCCTTCTACTCAGTGAAATAATATAAAAAGTGATCACTATTTGTTTGTCTGCAGCACCCAACGACAGCCGTCCTATTCGTCCATCCTAATCTGCACATTCAAACTTGATAGATAATGAGGATTTCGAATCTGACACGAGGGATAAACGTCAAGTAAGATATTCCGGGCTAGAATCCTGTAGAAGTTCTGCAATCGAGTCCTACCTTCAAAAAGGAAAAGAAACGCGACTGAGTCGAGAAGTTGACGAAACCTTGGCCCCCGGGCAGACCAGCCGGAAGACCAGTGGCTGAAGACGAATAAGAGGCAAGAGGGGAATGGGGGGTCAAAATGGGCTTAAACAAAATTATGAGGCCTGAGCAATAAAAGTCAAGTCGGCCCAATAAATGCGGGTACCGTCACGTCACTTGTTGCCGCTTCTGCCTGGACATCATGGACCAGCAGTCCCGTCCCATGCCTGCACCCACTCAGTCCTTTTGCCTCCGACCGAGTCTCGAACAGGCATCAATCGCCCCTCCCCCTCCTCTTTTCTCGTACACACACCGACAGGCGAACATGCGAAATTTGTCTTGTATGGCGGCTATTGTGCCTGTTGTCCAGCCTGACAGTTACGCAAGCAAGCTCATACATTTCATTAAGTCTGGATTAGGGCAGCGATTCGAAATCTGCGGGCGTCCTGTTCGTCGAAAGTGTGTCTATTCTTCACATTCCCTTATTACATTGGCAATCCAGTCTTTGTCGATGTGTGTTTTTCGCTGTACTGGTGTTTGTCCTCGTGTCTGTCAACATTGTCCGCTTGGCTATTTCGGATGCAACATTCGTTGAGACATCATCGAGGCTCTTGTTCTCGACGTGTTAAGAGGCGTGTTGATGCCTCACCCTTTTCTTCTGCCCCAACAGAATTCGACCCACTGACTTTTAGCCGACCCCACTTTGTCTTCCAATAGACCGAGTCGACTCCTCCTCCTCCTCTTCCATTCCTTAGCGGTAGAGAGTCACTTAAACCCCGCGATCGGCCATTCTACTCTTCGTCGGTCATGGCCCAGCGGGGGCTCGAACAGATGCACCCACATGCCAGTGGAGGCTTGTGGTCAACAGGGGGCTGCTGAGTAAAATGAAGTCTGGTCGTCTGTGCGTCTTCCTGAAGTAATATACAAACTATGAAAAAGCAAATTTACGCCTAAGACTTGGACGGACGATGGGAAGAATTGATAGAGGATAATACCAAAGTGTAGATATTTCACATTCTTCACAGCCATAAGGCCATCTTCGGAGTTTTGGTAAAGTATATTTCGGCATCATCCTTAATTCTTGAACAAGAATTTGGCCAGCCCAGATCGCTTTAGGTGATCTAAGGACTGATGGTTGAATTTTTCCCGCATTCAGATGCATAAGCCTTGGACTTATTACGGCTTGATTGGGCGGAGAAGACATCGTATAACGGTCCTGTGATGCCGATAGGATTTTGCTGAGTTTGCATCGTCATGTAGCAGATATTGTCAGAGTCAATAAACAACATTTACTAAAAGTTATTAAAAACACAAAAACATGGTCAATGGCGCTGAGGATGTGCGCGGCAAAACTGTTATTCGCTGTCTTCTTCGCACAATCCAGCAGTAATAAGTGCAATGCAATCATCCTTCCGTGTCAGATGAGGCTAACTTACGAATCTCTTCCTTCCATCCATCGGTTCAAATTTAAAAAAATGAACATCAGCATCATTCTATCAAGTACTTCTTGGAAATCTAGCTTCTATTCGTACCCCAAAAATACAAGTTAGTTTAATCGGAAATACCTTTATAATGTGACATAGGCGTTGACCTCAGTAAGGGGATAAAGTGGGGCTACAAGATGTTAGCAATATTTCAGCTGACCTTATTTCTTTTATTAGGGCCTGGCGAATTCAGGTAACGTATGGTTTCCAGCTCTGATTATGTCACTCACATGACTGATAAAGGCTCATCAAGAATTCCTTGGGGTCGGAGGCAGGTGTCTCGAGGGCATAATCGCACAGATATATAGTCAAAGTTGCAGAGCAACTTTTCTTCAGCTTTCGATAATGCCAAATTATGAATCCTTTTCATTCGCCTCGAAAACGAAAATATAGGCAGTCCAACTTAGTATTTGCCCACCGAAACCGATGTAAACTGCCTCGGAGATAGTGTCAACTAGAATTTTTCAGAAGAACCAAACATTATTTGGATAAGTTGAATCCGACCTTAGAATCTCTTTACTTACACATTCAAAATAAATCAATTTTTCCAAATGATTACAAGTCGTTTGTAGATAAGGGAAGCCTGGAAAGTTTAAACGCATTATTTTGTCTTAAGAAGCAAGGAGTGGTACGATAATATGAAGTTGCCCGATAAGATTGCATTTGCCTCATGCTTCATCCGCAGCCATTTAGCCTGTAGGCCGTAGCAACTTCATTTATCAACAAGAATGTAAGAAAAGTATGTGATATTCAAGCAAATGCTGAAAGGTTTCACAAGGTGGACAAAGTTAGGCTATAAGAAGCAAGTGGATTGTAGCCAGCCACCTTTATTGTTTCCGTCTTTTGGTGAATTATCGTAAACTAAGCTGTTTTGCTCCGACGATGTCCATAACATGACGGATGGAAGCTCAGCAAGGATTAATCGGGATCGCGGGTAGGTGAACTGAAGACTTATTAGCACAAATCTACAAGCAAGGTACCAAGGCAACTGCCCTTCGGCTTCCTGTAAGACCAACTTAC